ATAGGATTCTTGTTTCTCAAGGTTCCCAAATACCCACCTCTCGCACCCACCCTGAAGCCAAGCTTTATCACCTGGATAGAAAAGGGAAAGAGATCTCCTTTTGTTGTTTAGGAGCTTTAATTGGTAAAGCCATGTTAGTATGTACTCTCCCACTGAAGCTGCAGGATAACCACCACATGCAGTAAGAGGACCAGTTTTTTGTACAATATAAACCTTTTAGTCTTGAGGCATATTATAAATGCCACACAGCCTCAGCCTGAATGCATTTTTTTAGAACCAAATCACTTACTTATTAAATTATTAAAGATCGTTTAACTGGAAAATAAAATACAGCATTAGCTAGAATGAAATACATTTTAGATCTGTGTAGTTACTGAGCATAAGTGATAGAATCAACCACATGTACTACTCTATATCATGGTGCTGCTTTTTCTTTTTCTTTTTTGACAGAGTCTCACTTTGTTGCCCAGGTATGATGATGCATCGGCATCCAGCGAGCTCACACAACCCAAAACTCCCTGGGCTTCAGCGATCCTGCTTGCCTCAGCCTCACCGATGTAGCTGGACTACAGGCATGCCGCCACCATGCCCCGGTTATTTTTTCTATATATATTAGTTGGCCAATTAATTTCTTTCTATTTAGTAGTAAGAGACAGGGTCTCGCTCTTGCTCAGGTTGTTTCGAACCTCCCATGAACTCAAAGATCTGCCTGCCCTCGGCCCTCCCACAGAAGCTAGGATTACAGCGTGAGCCACCGCGCTGCGCTTGACTTTCTTATTTAAGTAGATGTTTAATGAGGTCCTGTACTATGTCATATGTTATGGAGGCATAATAAAATTTTATAGTAACATCCATGTCCTCTCCTCCATGAAGTTGACAGTTAAGCTCCAAAAGTAAAGTTTGGAAGTCTTTTTGTATTACGACCTTCCATTGCTTAGGGTTTGGATGTATTAAGTCGATTATACATAAAATAGCATATTTTTCCTGTGTCAGGAAGAAAATAAATCTCTAACTAGAGTTGTTTTGGCAGTACTGTCAGCTACAGAGAGCCAGGCTCTATCGCATCCTCTGCCCAGGTGTCTTGGTTTGGTACCCTGAGAAACTGTCTGCAATCTAACCCCAGTCTTGTTTCAACACGAAGTTATTATCGTACCTCCCACCTGGTGCTGCTATATGTCAACTCAATAGGCCAGAATCAATAGCGGCATTATGTCCATTTTCTTGAAATTTTGAGGCATTTTTTCCTGTTTAAAAGCAGAACTGACCAGGTGTGGTGCGCACCACTGTAATCCCAGCAGCTTGGAGAGCTGAGGCAAGAGGTCCATTTGAGTCCAGCCTGAGCACCATAGTGAGACCCATCTCCTGCAAAACAGAGATAATTACCTGTGTCCGGTGTGGCGTGCTATAGCCCCAGCTACTCAGGAGCCTCAAAGGAGGATCTCTTGAGCCCAGGAGCTTTGAGCGGTTGTAGTAAGCCATGATCTGTCACCACTGCTATTCTAGCCTGGACAACAAACAAGACCTATCTCAGAAAAAAGTGCAGAAACTAGAAAAGAATCACTATAATCAGTGAGAATATTGTAATAAATTATAAAGACGAAAGGAAGAGACAGTAAAATAGATACTTCATTTGTGTAATTTCCCCTTAATTTATGATAGCGCTATGTGAGGTTGGTGATATTATCCCATTTTTACTAATGAGTATAAGAAGTTAGCGCTGTTCAGTCATCCAAGATGTTGAGACCAGTTTGACTCCAAGAGATAGCCTTGAAGTCCACTACAGTATAAAATGCATGCCAGAGACTCCAACATTTTATTTTATTATTATTTATTTAAATTTTAAAAATTTATCTTTGCTTATATGATTTTTTTTTTTACATTCTGGGAATACGAAACTTTTTAAATGTTGCTAGTAAGCAAACTATATTCTCTTCATGTCTTGTTATCAGATATACATATGTAACACTGGTAATCAGATTGTCCGTTAATGTGATGATCCCAACATTATTATTGCTGGTTGAATACAATTTCTTTCAAAGCAAAACGTTATTTAAGTTGGCCTGTGATGCTTTAACATGTAACGCGCTTAGCTTTTTGAAAATATTACTAAATAGCTTGTGCACTGGTTCATTATTGTCAAGAAATGTTAAATGAATCTACAGGCCTAAGAAGGTCTAAGCAAAAGATTAAGGCGAGAGCCTGTTCTTTAGGGAATAAGACATGCGCCAGGAATTTCTAATATACGCGGTACCTCAAATACGGCCCCATCGGCCACATGGGCCATGGCGTACCAGCCAAGACATTTATCAGCCCTGGGGTGTTGTTTGACTTACACCGCCCTGCCTGTCTCGCCCAGTGCGCACTGTCTGAATGTGTGCTGCATCTCCAATGGCCACTCCAACAGTCCTGAGGGACAATGAACTGCCCCCTGTTTCAAAAGTTTGAGGACCTCGGATTCAAGATATTGAAAGGTCACTGTGGGAAAGTATGGCTAGGCACTCTGAGTTCACAGGAAACGAGGAATTGATTGCCAGATTTGAGGAAAGCTGCCTTAGAAGAGAGTGGGTTTAAATTAAAAAATTTGAACAGATGTTAGAAAGGAATTCTCTGGGAGGCAAGAACAATAGAATTAACTTTTGAAACTATCCATACCATTTCTAACCATTCCCTCAATCCATCCCACGAAGTTTTGATTGCTCTGCTCTGTGGGAATGCTAACGTTCCAGGTAAAATGCAGTCTTATGTTATGAAACTGGTAAACACCTCAGCGAGGACAGACAAGGAGCTAGAACTAGGGAATTTTGTTTTCTTTTATTTTTATTTTTTTTATTTATTTATTTTATCTACACTTCCATGTTCCATTTATAAAGGAGGTAAATCATTAAGAACTTCTGTTATTGGCCAGGTGTGGTGGCTCACACCTGTAATGCCAACACTTGAGAGCGCAGTTCTAGACCAGCTTGGCAACACAGTGAGACATCCGTCTCTACAAAAAAAAAAAATTAAAATCAGCAGGGTGTGGTGGCACATGCTATAGTTCCAGCTCCTTGGGAGGCAGATCCAGAAAGTCACTTGAGCCCCCAGGTGTTCAAGGCTGCATCTGAGCTTTGATCATGCACTATACTCTAGTCTAGTTGACAGAGTGAGACCCCATCTCTTTTTTTTTTTTTTTTTGAGACAGAGTCTCACTCTGTTGTCCAGGCTAGAGTGAGTGCCGTGGCGTCAGCCTCGCTCCACAGCAACCTCAATCTCCGGGCTCAGCGATCTACTGCCTCAGCCTCCCGAGTAGCTGGGACTACAGGCATGCACCACATGCCCGGCTAATTTTTTGTATATACTATTTTTCAGTTGTCAGATTAATTTCTTTCTATTTTTGGTAGAGACGGGGCTCTCGCTCAGGCTGGTTTCAAACCCCCTGACCTTGAGCAATCCGCCCGCCTCCGGCCTCCCCAAAGTGGCTAGGATTACAGGCGTGAGCCACCACGCCGGCCTGAGACCTGTCTCTTAAAATAATTTTTTTAATTAAAAAAAGAATTCTGTTAAATTTTTTGGAGTAATCATGAATTACAGAATTGCAAATTAGCATTTTTTTTTCGTCTTATAACAAAGCATATATAGATTTACTCAACTTGTGCAAGGAGGTTGTTTGTTTTGTTTTGTTTTTGGCATATATGTTAGGTTGAGTTGTTTATCATCAGCACCATCTTGGGTTAAGGCTTCTTCAGTACCCATTGGACGTGTCACAGAGTGTTTAAAGTCTGCTGTCATATAATTCAAGGCCTTAGGAAATGGCTCATAATTTTACATTTCTCACAGAAATAATTACCCTGCGTGAATCCTTTATATCAAATAAAAGCCTTATTTCCAGTGACTTCTTGATCTTAACTTAAATACATAAGCTCTCAAAACAAGTGACTAGGACAGCTATCCTTGAACATAGAAAGAATACTGGTCTTGGGCTCTCTGGGCTGGAACAAGCCTGAACACTCATGTTTCTCAACGTACAATGGAAGAAAGTCATTGAGATGATCTTCTGAGGCCTCCCTTCT